CTCTATGTTAAAAAGTTAAAAAACTCAAAAATTACCGATAAGGCTGCTATTTTTTTCCACAAAACTATTTTTTTGTAATATATACCGGGTGTCCACAAATTCTTGGTCTGATTTAATAGCTTTACAGTACGAAAACCATTAGAGCCACACATAACTTTTATGCCTTGTTTTAAAGGGAATATAATCAAGTTTTATTTAATGAAATTGGTGACACCTAAACACAGCTGATTGACAACAATACACTTATGATTCAATATTAAAACAATCAGAAATGGAGAGTTTACAAGAGAAATCACAGTTTGTTTTGTTGTTTCACGAAACCCAATCCCCTATAGCAGTTCAACGACTATCCATTCAAGTGGGAAGGTTAACAGACACAATAATTGAAGAATTTTTGGGAATTTAAATCTCAGGACCGTGATTGAAAATCAAAGGGCCAGTCCAAATTAAATCTTTGGTGTGGTGTAATACATAATGGAATCATTGGATAATTTTGCTTTGCAGAAGAAAATGTAAATGGGTTTGTTTACTTGGTTATGTTGGAGTTGTGTGTAGTCCCTCAATTATAAGAACTGCAACTTATGATAATTTTTCAGCTAGATGGTGCCCTGCCTCATTGGGCTAAATGAAAACAAAATCCTGCAATTGACGTCCTTGTCCTACTTGACATTCCTTTTTAGTCACTTGAAAACTCCAATAAATACTCCACCAGCATTTCTTCACGAATCACTTTAGTTTTTAGACAATTCTCAGCTTTGGTTCAAGCAAATCTATGGGGTGACTTTGAAATACCTAAAACTTCAATTAAAATAACCCCCCCCCCCAAAAAAAAAGAGGAGCCAACGTTAAGCTTTCAACAACAAAAGCTTCCTGGGAAATCTACTCGCACTCTTTCAACATTTGCTGGTGTACAAAGAGTTTTGCTGTATACCCACCAATTATTTTTAGGGGTTATGTCCTATTCCGCCCGAGTTTTATTTCGCCCGTAGCCTAATTAGTCCCAGTTCGCCCACGGTCCCAGATTAACCCCTATAATCCTCAGCTCTACCTGCGTCAGGAGTCCTATTCCATCCACAGAGGCAAAGCCTCGCCTCTTAGGACCCCACCCACCCCCAACTATGTAACAGCCCTCCCCTACCCATCACCCGGTTATCCACCTTAGACTATATCCACCTTAGACTACACGGTTATTTAAGCTTAAAATATTTGTTTGACAAACCAGACAAACCAAGCGAATTTCCTTTATATTATTAATGTAAAGTTTAGACACAAAGATATCAGCATTAAAATATAAAGTGGCATGTGCCCTTATTGATGTAGCCACTATAAAGATGTCAAATCATTATAATGTGGAACTTTCCTTTGGGTTGAAACGCTTCAACAGTAATCTATATTGATAAATGGTTACGACATAACAGATTAATTAAATTTACTGTCCATGTACTGTTAGTTACTGTATGTTTGTCTCCCTATCAAAAATGTGCAAATAAGCAATTTAATTATTTATAATATTGCGTTTAACGGCAAACAGAAACATATGATAACACTGCAATCCAAGTCCAAGACTTGACCAAACAAAGGCCACTAGTTAGCTGCTTCTAGTGTTAAATACCCAACTGCACACCTTTGAGTTTTCTTTATTATACAATGTAAATAATTCACCTATTGGGTTTGATGATGATTGGAGTGTCGAATCGAACTCGATCACCATTTGCCTTCTTTTATGTATATTTATCGTCTGGTGAGATAAATAAGAGCACAAATATATGTTTTGAGTATTATTAGACTATCTTTTTTTACTTTTTGTATACAATGTAATGTAGTAGTTTACGCACGGAATGCGTTAAGATAGTGTCGTTTACTCTATTTACGCGAGTTGCGTACACTACTTTACCTACGACAACATTTTCTCATGAATAGCCAGACAGGACGTGGATGAAGCGCGAGGGATGTTGACTTGGAAAGTCCAAGCGTTGTCCGTGCGAAACAACAGGGGAGAAATAGCAGAGTTTAGCATTTTTCCAGAGAGGGTGGTCATTAAGGATTCGTCATCGGCATGCTTCTTTTTTGGAAGACGAGAGCTAAATTTCAGTGCCTTTGACTGTTACACATCGCGATGACAACTACTAATAGAGATGCGCTTAGTCTTATTTACAACGACTATGGATATTATAAAAACGCGAGAATAATCTGGTGAAGTGATCTGGTGGTATAGTTTTATTATTTTATTATTTATTTATTATTTATTTATATATTTTACGCCGCACTACATTATTTTAACGAACTTCCCAAGCAAGGATTTAGTCCAGAAAACAGCTGTTAGCCACCAGCTTATTCAAATGGTGTTTCATTGCGTACCACCTTACTGTAATGAGTTTTACCGGACACCAATCAGCTGATTATACTGTATTTAGGTGGCAATAAATGTTTATAAACAAAAACATAACCTCTCTTAGAAGTTATGACTACGGATTTTTAGTCCTTTAGTTTGTGGAAATTTATAAGGATATGTACAGATTTAGTAGTATGGCGTTAAATATTGTACGTAACTTGTCCAAAATATGTGTACCAGACTCGTATGGCAATCCCTTGCGTCTCGCACGGGAACAACCACACTCGTCCGGTAAACACTTATTTTCAGGACTAGTAACGTAATATATATACTATTTCGCTACACTACTGTGAAATCGCCTGTTATCGTTACATGTATCGTACCTGCAAAAACTCTGCATTACATTGTTTACTACTGCATAAGAATGTTTACTATGTGAAAGTACGTATTAACTTTTTATTCAAGGCATAACCAACAAACTGGTGTTGTAATGAAGAAAATAATTATTCTTTGTGGTGCTCAATAAATCCCAAACTTCAAACATGGTCTCAAATATGTTATGACTTACTTTCTACTCCTTGTTATAAAATTACAACAATTACTACGATACTATAAACTAATACCTACGACTGTTTTTAAGCTAGCCATTTCAGTGCAATTCTTAGAATTAAAAAGATTCCCTTAACAGCATTGTTTATTTACAAAGCAGCATTGGTACAATGGTTCGTCGCATCACTGTCAGTGGGAATGAGATTTTATAAATTAAACGAAAACATAACATCTCTTAGGAGTTATGAATAGTGATATAAGTAATTAAAATACTGTCGTAGGTAAAGTAGTGGACGCAACTTGCGTAAATAGAGTAAACGACACTATCTTAACGTATTCCTTGCGTAAACTACTATATTACATTGTATACGAAAAGTAAAAAAAGTCTAATAACACTTAAAACATATATTTGTGCTCTTATACTGTTATCGCACCAGACGATAAATATACATAAAAGATGGCAAATGGTGATCGAGTTTATTCGACACTCCAATCATCATCAGACCCAATAGGCGAATTTTTACATTGTATAATAAAGAAAACTCAAAGGTGTGCAGTTGGGTATTTAACACTAGAAGCAGCTAACTAGTGGCCTTTGTTTGGCCATGTCTTGGATTGCAGTGTTATCATATGTTTATGTTTTCCGTACAGAAACATACAGTTACCGTGCAGTAACTAACAGTTCATGGACAGCCAATTTAATAATCTGTTATGTCGTAAGCATTTATCAATATAGATTACTGTTAGGCGGGGCTTCGCCGCCGTGGATGGAATAGGACTCCTGACGCAGGTAGAGCTGAGGATTATAGGGGTTAATCTGGGACTGTGGGCGAACTGGGACTAATTAGGTTACGGGCGAAATAAAACTCGGGCGGAATAGGACTACACGATTTTTAGGTTCAAGTCTCTTATCTTATCTTATCTTACTAATTATTATAAATGTGAAAGTATGTGTGTTTGTTTGTTTGTTTGAAGTTCAATCACGCATTAACTACTGGACGGATTGGGCTGAAATTTGGCATGATGATAGCTCACATTCCCGATTAACATATAGGCATATTCTTATCTCAAAAATCGTTTTGGGGTTCGCCCCAGTGGCTCTGTAGTTCCCCATGTTAACCTTATGAGTATTCATATTTAAAAAGAATTAAAGTATTTAGTCAGCTGTTTCAACTGAAAAAGTTGGTTCTATGATAAACAAAAGCATTAACAAGTTATAAGATTTACCAACAGGTTGCAGCACTATTATTTTTTTTGCATTTATGAAAACAGCTAATTTGAACTAAGCAGCAGCAAAAAACTGTGATAAGCAATGAGAACTGTCAAAGTAGGATTGTTTACAGTTATGTTTATTTTTTATTTCATGAATAATTTGTGATATTTACCAAATTTTTTATAATTTTTTTTATCTATTGTTTAGGTGAAGTGGTAGAACATTATGACTATTGTAGAAGTGCCATACTATAGTATACTGTAAATTTAAAGAAACAAATTTATCAAACTGTGTCCTCCCCCATTGCAAACGCAAAGCTTGAATATAACTGGAATAATAATTTTACACTTATATGCCAACCCCCGTACGAAGGACGGGTATGACTGCTAGTCCTAAATAATTTTACACAATTCACCATTTTTTTAAATCCGGAACAGCGCCATGTTGGCCAAGGATGGAATGGGGTCCAAAAAATCTCATAGGGTTTTTGCACAAGAATCACTACCTATTTTAAAAATAGGTTTCCACATCAAAATCTCAGTGTTAGCCTGAGGCATAATATTTACTAAAATGGCATAGTTTAATTGATGTTATAAGCACAGCTGTTGTCATTCATTGTTGCTTTATTTATAGTATGACAACGAAATAAAATTGGGGTGCTCTCACTGCCTCACCATGTATATAGTGAATTGAAAATTGCTGCATAAATTGATAATAAAAATACCTGTTTTGAGGGAAAATATTTTTTTATATTATGTTAAGTTTCTAAACGGCGGCTATCCAAAATTGTAAAACTAAAATAATAGATAAATAGTTTTTTATAGGCCTACAAAAATTAAGGTTGATTAGACCGTAATTTACAAAGGTTATTTTTTATCATTTTAATCGAGTGCGTATCTGTTTCAGGCTGAAAACTCTAATTCCAAATACATGATTCATCTCAAGTCCAAGTCTGATCCTATTCATGTGTATTATCTCCAACAGGGCTCAAAACTAAAAGATGTTAAAAATCTTAGTAAATTAAAATCTGAGGTAAGTTGCCATACACAGTTTGGAGGGTGGCTTTTAAGTAAGGACCAGTTTTGATTATAAATCTGTAATTCACTTGTATGCCGCAACGAGACTCATCAACAGTTACTCGTTACTGGCATCATTTGTGAACAGAATGACACAAATTTCAGCTCTGTAGCTGTCATCTACGCTTTGCTGTGTGTTTGTAAAATTGTTTAAACAATTAAATCTCCTGCCGCGTCCGAGTTAAGGTCAGTGAAAAAGTTGTTTGATTACAAGAAGCATATCTGATGTGTACATTCATCGCCGAATCCTGGAGATTATGGCCCTGATGCAAAGATAGTGTGGAAATTGGCTAGGGAGTTACAAAATGGCAGTGAAAATTCTCATTTCGGAAGGAGTCCCATTTTCACGTGTTTTGGTGGGGTTAAGGCAATGGAACTAGTAAAAAAATCAATCACACATAGGCCTGATATTCCAATTTTTAACTTTAGTTTAGTTACACCTCAGCAAGTTATCAAAATAGTCAAGTCACTAAGTGATAAAAAAACGGCTGGTTGGGATGGGATTTCAACTACTATGATAAAAAAAGTAATTAAGTTTGTTGCTGAGCCATTGTCCATAATCATCAATCAGACTTTAACCAATAGCACTTTCCCTAATCATTTGAAGTATGCAGAGGTGAAGCCATTATTTAAAAAAGGTTCTAAGAGTAATTCAGATAACTACCGACCTGTTTCTGTCCTGCCTTCTTTTTCAAAGATATTTGAAAAAATTGCATTCAATCAAATGTCCTATTTTCTGGAATCTAATAACTTATTAGCTGATGAACAGTTTGGTTTTAGGAAAAATCGAAGTACCACTTCCACTGTGGCTCATTTTGTAAATTCAATAACACAGAGCTTGGATGGGTCACAGAGCACTATTGGCGTGTTCTGTGATCTATCCAAAGCCTTTGATAGTGTACACCATCAAATTCTTCTTGATAAATTATCCTCCTATAGATTCTCTCAGAATCAGTTATTTTGTGGTTGAAATCATATTTAAACGATCGCTTTCAAAGAACAGTTATTATTAAAGAAAACATTAAGTATGCTTCTGAATGGGAAAAGATTGTTATTGCCTCAGGGCTCTATATTAGGACCGTTATTGTTTTTGATGTACATAAATGATCTACCTAAGAATGTTAAACCTAGTTTTTTGTTATATGCTGACGATACGACAGCCATCATTAAATCAAAAGACAGTCATGAACTAAGTTTAGCCTTGAATCAAGCTCTTCAAGATCTGTCAAAATGGTTTAAAGTAAACGGTTTAAAAATGAACCACATTAAAACACAAATAGTAAAATTTCAAACTGCACAGTGTAGGGACGATCTTGAAGGCTTTGTTTATTTTGATAATGAAAAAATAAATCTTAGCAACACAGCTAAATTTTTAGGAATTGATGTAGATAGTTTATTGAATTGGAAGAATCACATTCATAACACCTCTAAAAAGTTAAATTCAGTATGTTTTCAAATGTTGGTCTTAAGAAATGTTGTTGATTTAAAGATTTGTGATTTATCTACATAAATTATTATAGTAAAGTTTTCTAAATCATGGTAACTTATTCTCCACTAAGTCTACTCCCAGCATTAAAATAAAGTAGTAAGATCCATTATGGGTCAACTTTAAGGTACACAATCCTTGATTCAAATATCAAATATGACTTACTTTCTACTCCTTGTTATAAAATTACAACAATTACTACGATACTATAAACTAATACCTACGACTGTTTTTAAGCTAGCCATTTCAGTGCAATTCTTAGAATTAAAAAGATTCCCTTAACAGCATTGTTTATTTACAAAGCAGCATTGGTACTACAAATCTATAATAGGATTAGTATCTTTTAAAGAAAAAATTTTTGAATTTTTATTGGAAAAGAATTATTATAGTATTGGTTTCTTGAAGATAAATCAATGTGAATTGTTTGTTTTGTTACCTACTATGTATTTATTTTTACCAATATAAGCTAGTTTATTTTAGTATAGTTTGACAATGTCACCTGTTTTGTCTGGCTGTGCCAGAGCATAAAAAAAACGTTTTGTGACAATAAAGATGACTTTGACTTTGACCCAGACTTCTCAAAGAAGACCACTATGAAAAAAGGATTTCACGGCCATTTTTACATCCCATAACCCATTTCCGCTCTTTATCCACACTCATTGCATTAGGGACATCACTTCAGTCATTTGGTGATGAATGTCAGCATCGGATATTTTTCTTGTAAACCAAAAAACATATATCATTCATCTTACCTCGGACACGGCGGGAGATTTGATTGTTTAACCAATTTTAAAAACACACAGCGAAGCAGCCATGACAGCTACAGAGCTGAAATGTGTGTCATTCTGTTCACAAATGATGTCAGTAAATGGTGATGAGCCTTTTTGTAGAGTACAAGCGAACTAAAGTCTTAGATAAGTGAATCGACTCTCTTGGGTTGAGAAAGAAATAGGAATTTGTGTAGTGTTACATGTCATTCATTCACCATTAAATATTAATTTCCCTATAATTTTATATGCTGTCCCTTATAATGTTTGTTAATGTCCCTAATAATGTATTAATAGTTTTTTGAAATGTTTCTCCTTGTTAATATGTGTTATTTTATCAAATTTGTTCAACCTATCTATATATCTATTCTATTACTTATTTAATACGCAAGCAGGATTTTTGTGACAATTACTCCTCCGAAACTACTGAACCGATTGACATGTTTTTGGTGTCATTGGAAAGAGGGTAACGTGAAGTTGTGCAGGAAACTTTCTTTTTAGGGAAATAATGAGAGATTGATGGCCTGGACCTGGAGCCCTTTAAAGTTTCGTTTTTCTCCATAAGGATAACATGGGAGATAATTTGTATTTACAGAAACATTGTTTGTTACTTGAAAATACTCAAAGTCTACTACATAATAATTGCTGTGTATTATGACTTTTAATGTATACCTACTACATTTGAATCAAGGATTGTGTACCTTAAAGTTGACCCATAATGGATCTTACTACTTTATTTTAATGCTGGGAGTAGTAAAATTTAGTGGAGAATAAGTTACCATGATTTAGAAAACTTTACTATAATAATTTATGTAGATAAATCACAAATCTTTGACATTATTAATTCATTTGAAACTTAAACAGCTGATCGACAAATCAAACAAATCATCTACTTCATGTGAATAATGTTATTACACAAACTTTTAACCAATATCTAGATTCTTTTTTTACTTGTGGGTGTATTTTGAGTTTGCAGTTATGAAAGCACCAAGCCAAGTAACTTTTATCAAATTTTCTTTATAAACTAACAGTATTAATGAATTACTACATGAACTTGACAAGTCAGGTCAGGAATTGTCAGTTTGCCAAGGGGAAGAAGAGTGGGTCCTTGAAAACAGACGAAGGCGGAGACACCCATCTAGAAAATCCAACTGAGTTTTTAAATATAGAGGTCAGTGGATTGCTAAGACACAGATTAGACTAATAAAAGGGGGCAGTGGTTTTATTGATGAGGAATATTAATACATCAAAAAGGGCCTCATTAATGGCACAAGGCTTCATGTGATCAGAATGGTTAACAACTTAATACAATGTTAAGTCTTCTGGAACAAGTGAGTGGGGCATATTTTGATTTTTGAGGATAAAAATTTACCCGTCTTAAACAAACTTACCTTTTAACCCTCCAAGTGTCCATAGTTTAGGCCTTAATGTCCACCTATTTTTGGCGCATTTGCAAGGTTTTATTAAAACGGATCTGAGAAGCTTAAAACAATGTTAATTCTAATGTTCTATATACCATGTCTAATGTTTGGAAAATCATGGGCTTGAATATCATACATAAAACATAAGGAATATTTGTTTCAAAAAATTTTTTTAGGTAAAAAAAAAATTATTTTGGAAAAATTGAAAAAAAAAAATAAGTTTGCGCTCAATGAAATTGTATAAATTATAGGCCTATAAATATTTGAAAATAGCCACTTTGTTCTAAATTTTATGAGGATTACAAATATATAATAATATAAGGAAGTAGATTTGCAAATAAATAAGTTATGGGCAAAAAACAGATTTCAGTACATAGCGTTTAGCTAAGAATGCATAGCCTAACCATAGCTAGGAATCTGGCTGATAATTTACATCAATATCACTACCTACTTCTTCAGGATCATCAACCAGCACTTCAAAACCACTTAAATCTTCTTATAATGCACCACGTATATCACTACTTTTGATTTTTAACACTAAAACAATGATAAACGTAATAAAACACATCAGTCATCGGTCCGAGGGTAACCTAGCTGTTTACAAATACACGCACGTCAGCTGTCTGCTACAATTACGATCGGCTCGGAGAACATACAGCGCTGAGACAGACCTCTGGAGAAAGCTTAGAATATAACGGAAAGAACGATACCTAACTCGATCCAGTTCAATCCGATTCAGTCAGTCATAGAGCCTTCGCCGTAAACGATGTCTGCGTGTCGAAAAATCGACAAGTAACACTACACAAAGTGTGCTGCTTGTCGAATTTTCGTCAAGTAACACTGGGAGGGTTAAAATGGAAAGATGGTAATTTCTGTTACCTTTGGCATTTGCAGCGCTGTTCTTACCCAGACCAATTTCAGTCATAAGGAACTATATTATTTGTTGTTTTAAGTAAGGCTACATCTTTTAATAGGATAAGCATATTCGTTACGGAAAACTCTGACCAGGGTAATCGTCCTGAAGGTAACTTTAAGGCTAAAATCGTAGTATTCATGGAAGTGCTTTTGTGATAAAAAATATTGTTTTTTTAGTGTTTATTTTTATAAGTGTTTTTTCTTCAAGCAGCATTTTTATGACCCTCAAAATATGCTACATAGGCCTACTGGTTTGATATGATAAAATGTTTTGTAAAATGTTTTATAAAAATCTTTAAAACATAACTACCCTATAACCTTGCTCGCTGCCTATAACATACTTGAAGTTGAACACTTATTAATTTAC